ACTAGCTATTTCCAGCGAGCAAATCATTGGGATTATATTTTGTCTACTAGTTTTGCTAGAGGACACATAACTCGTGTATTTTTGCAAATCGCATCACTCCAATTTTTACTAAAATCTTAATAAAGTACACAGAGAAAAAATTTGTAATTTTTTCCTAGGGAATTTACTCTTGTTATTTTTTTAAATCTTGCGAATCGGCTATTGTTTCATTGGTCCCAATTCCCATGAGTTTTTTCATATAATCTTGCGGACTGGGTGTCAAATCATCTCCATTTCCACAAAAATCCACGTATCTCATGAAAATCCACGATAGTTTTGAAAAAATTTCTCTAGCTTTCCTGCGGGTCACTCCACCCATGTGTATTTTTATAAAATCTTGCGGACTGAGAATTGTTTCAAGTCAAACCATCTCAACTTTCATAAAAAAAATATGTATCATGAAAACACACTATGAAAATTTTTGAAAAAATGTTTGTAGCCTTTACTAGTGTGTTCTTTCATGAAATTCTGCGGACTGTGTAACTACAGTCTACACTCACCGGGAAAAAAACGGTCACCAAGAAACTTAGAGAAATTGTTCGCCTTGTGACTTTTTTAATTCTTCTCAGATTTTGTTGAAATTTCGACAAAATTGTACATTCATGTTTCGGAATGTTAGCCTGAATATTAGGTCCTGAGGAAAGCTGATGACTTGATCATTATACAGGGAAAAACAAAGTTTAGCTTCATCATGTTTTGGACTCAAGTGTGATCCCTTCTTAACACATGGTTTTTGAATCACATCGATAATCACATTTTGAGAGAAGATACAAGTGTTACAAAAAGGATTGGAATTTTCAAATTTTTATGAAAAATAATTCATATATAGATTCTATAGGTTCTGATCTCAAATCGGAATTCGAAAACAGATTCGCAGACTTTAAGAAAATTGAGGACGTTGTGGAAATTCTCAGTAACATTTACGGATGTTGTGGAAATTCTCAGTAACATTTACTTTCTACAGCTCGATGGTGAATGGAGCAATGAAGTGGTGAATGTTTTCGGAAGTGATAAAGCAGCTCTTCAGATGGAACTGATCGACTTCCAAGAAAATACTGTTTCAAAACACAAAAATTCGGAAGTTGTTTGCGAAGAATTTTGGATAAAATTTGTGTGCGGTAATAAATACCCAGAACTGAAAAATTTGGCTTTGAAACTTTGTACAATGTTTGGATCACCATATATTTGTGAAGCAGCGTCTTACCGATGACCATCTCCAGGATCTAATGGCGATAGCTTGCACCAACTCAACACCAGACTTCTGACATATTGTTCAGAGTAAAAAATATCATTTCTCGCATTAATATTATGTACTTACTATACGTTTTTTTCAATTAGATGTTTACCTAATAATCAAAAGTTCTGATATCTTTTGGTTCATTCATTGATATTTCAGATCTTGGTTGTTCGTTATCATCTACCAAACGGACCGCGACAAATTTATATTTGTTATATACGGACCCGCAATGGAACTAATTGGTGATCCCTGCTATAGAGCATCTTAGGGATGAACTTCAGAAGCTGATTCACCTTCGTCCGGCCTTGTCAGAGACTCTTCAATATCTAGGATTCGCCCTTCAAGGAGAATTTTAGGCAATTCTTCAAGACTACTTGAGAAATTTGATCAGCTCGATGCCATGGCGGTTAAGAGCTGTAATTCAACTCGAGGGCATACTCGTTATTGACTACATGTCTGCTTCTGGCAACCAGATGACGTTTCAGTGACGTCTTTTTACGTCAGTTGAATGAACAAGGTGACGTCAGGAGTTGACGTCGTATGACGTGATAAATGACGTGAATAAGTCACAGCCCAATGACATCGTATTACTCACGTTTATTAACGTCATTCACTCACCAAACTGTGACGACAGACTGACGTCGAAATGACGTCAAAATGAAGTTCAAATTTGGTGATGACACCTAATAAAGTTTCCTTGAACATGGTGTGATAATCACCACTGACCTCTGATGACATATAATATTGATTATGCATTGTTGAGTCTGCTTGATGGTCCCTCCGGTGTCATGTCCATTCAATCGTCAATTCAGCAGCGCTATCCTTCAGTACGCATCATCAATTGCTCGTGTTTACGAAGCTCACCAAAATAGTACGTCACATCGACGTGATTTTTAGACGTCATAGATACGTCACTGCAACGTCATGAAACTGACGTCTTATTTTGACCTTCTGAGTTACGTTCACTCAACGTTGAGATGATGACGTGATTATCACGTCATAAAAAGTACGTCATAGTGACGTCATAAATTGGTGCATGACGTATCTGACGAAAAATCACCAAGTAAGGACGTCACAGTAATGTCATCTGGATGCCTGGGATTTTTGTTTGTTTTTTGTTCTAAACGTTTTTTCCCGTGATTGCTAAAAAATTGAGGTAGAAATAAGTGATATTGATTCTTCAAGTTATTAATCAATAATTTGGTGTAGATTCTGATTACTGTTAAGAGAAACTGAAAAATGTCATACTCTCTTGAAGAAACACTCGTATCTTTTCTTGAAAATAAGATATTGATGTGAATCAAAAACAATTGTGATAAAAAAGGGTCACACTTCAATCCAAAGAATAATGAAGCCAAGTTGAATCACTCAATTTCGCCACAGGGCGTTGAGAAGTAAAGGGTGGAATAGTAACTTAGGGTTTTCCCTGTATAATGATCAAGTCATCAGCTTTTCACGGAAACTAAAATTCAGCCTAACTTTCCGGAACACGAATCTACGATCTGATCGAAATTTCATAAAAATCGGAAAAGGATTAAAAAAGTTACACGGAGAACAAATTTTTTGGTGGCCGGTTTTTTGACGGTAAGCGTATTTTATATTTGAGAAGAGAGAGACAACTGTACTTGTAATTTTGTGTAACCTTGATTATGACTTTTAGTGAAAAACTGTGCTGTACTAGCGATGATGATTCTGACGAAATTTATAAATTTTGATACACTTCAATTCATTCATTTCATTCCATGAGGACGTAGGTAGCAACCGGTCAAAGAGTTCTGATTTTTTTCTCAGAAACAGATAGAGATTTGAATATAATTCAGGCGATAAAAAGAGAATCGGTATATTTGATTACTGATGAAGGAAATAATCAACCCTATAAATGAGAGGTGGCGTTCTGTACCTTTTCTAAACACCTTGTATGCATCAATTTATTCAATCAATATGATATTATCGAAATACTTCCTAGTAATAGCAAGGACCTTCGTGTGAAGAGCAGCAAAGATTAGTTCTGAACTGTAACGAATTCATTTGTTCATTCACCTTCAAGGTACAGGGTCGTTTTATATACTCAAACAGCTTCTTCATGGTCTATCATTGAAGATATACCAAACTTCGGATTCAAAATTTTTTTCTGTACTAGTAGAACAATCCACCACATCAAAAAAAATTGATAATTACGAGTATAGAATATTTTAAAATTTTAAGAATATTGTAAACCATCTCAATTTCTGTTTAGAAAATCTGCAATATTCATTTCGATGTCCCTAATTTAAAAATATAATAATCAAGATAGTTATTTGCAAATTCAGAACTTGTTTATAAAGAAGTAACTCAATATAAAAATACTTAATTTTAATTGGTTAATCATGAATCAGCTAATTTTTTGCTGATCAGCTTGTGTTATCTTTTAATCAGCTTTTTTGACTTTCCCTATCAAGTTTGAATCTGGTACAAATTAAATTCTTATTATACAGTTCGTACATGAAATATTTCACAATTCTAATAAACAGGTAACGGTTTTATGGAATAACGGTAGTATATGGTAAAACAATCAAGTTTTCAAATCAGGAAGCATTTCAAGTACCTAACTCATTGATATACAGGATGTTTCAGAATGTAATTGGAAACATTCAATTAGCGATCAAACTTGTGAAAATGGAAAGAAAAGGTCATGTAAACTCTCATGTTTTGAAGCTTCGTTTTTTTTGCAACCGACACATGAGTCGTCAATTTTAATACCATAATCAGCTCTTTAATTGACGTTTTCATTACTGACACAAACATAGTTTTTAGTTCCTAGGAGCTAATGTTGAACTTTACCTTCTAAGAACTAAAAAGGATGTACTAGGTCATCAAGAATGAACAACATTGTTACGGTTGGATATTCGTTCCCGATTTCCGTAGACTTGGCATATCATACCCGTGCTGGACATATAAATACACCTTATTATTGATCAGTAGAGCCTTTAAGATTCACATACTTGCTTGATCTGTATTACATTCATTCTATCGGGATCTGATTGATTGGATAACTTGTTTTTGATTAATCACGGCCTGCAATACTTTTTGTCTCACACAACGATATTGTTTACCTTCATTTGATTACCGAGCCAAATACAGTGGAATATGGAGAGAAATAAATATTCGCTATTATTATTGTTGGTATGCTCACTAACCTAACATTTTCCACTTATTATCACGTCATAGAGAGTAGGTACGTCATAAATTGGTGTGTGACGTTTCTGACGAAAAATCACCAATTAGGGACGTTACAGTGACGTGATTATTCGTCATCTGGTTGCCTGGATAGTGAGGAAAAGTTTTTCAATTTCTCAAATATATTCAACTGTTACATGAAAATGTACAAATTTCAAGGCATCTACCTCATATTTTGTTGTTGGATGAAAGAATTGAAAATCATCTGAGATTCATTCTAGGTAGGTAATTATAGTTACTGTATGAATGCACATTCCGGGTACAATAATGAAACGGTATGAATCATAGTATTTTATTCAAATTTAATATCAATTACCTAACAAAAAAAGTCTCACTATACATGAATTCCACGTAGTGGTGTTTCAATATAAATAATTAGTATGCATTGATTGATCCGAAATGTTGGTTTTCCTCGAAGGATATTCAAAAAAATAATCGAAAGAATACCGAATAGAAATATCTCTGTGTGATTTATTGAAAACGTGTTACCACACTGGACAATAACAGACCAACTTCAAATCTTTATTTGTACAATAACAACATGGAATCAGGTATGTATATAAAAATAATAAATATATTATATGTATATCGAAAAGTATAAAAAAATCTTTTTCTGCACATTTTTTCACAGTACTATTTTACATACATACAAATCTTATATTAGTGATTTTCTTTCTCTCACAATCATAATGCTGTAAATAAAAAGAAAAAGATATTGACAATTCAATTTCTACCATTGTGTTTCGCAGTGAACTGCGTATGAGTTTTTTTTTTTAGTTCATTATACCAGTATTTCACCTGAAGAAGCTACTGTGTTAGCGAAACATGTCGTGTGTTTAAGAATTTTGTGAATATCTTATCGTTTGTGAAATTTTTTACAATTTTACAAGCACGAGATGAAAACAAAGAGCAATAAAAAACTTGTGTATTGGGAATTTTGATTTTCAACTCACATAAGTACTTCATTTTTCAGTTTATTTTTCGAAACTTAAGGACAAAATATGGCAATAAGAGAAAAAACAGGAAAGAATATAGAATTCAGCGAATTATTCAATTATGTTGCTGAAAAAGTGAAAAATTGATTGATAAGTAGGTACACTGATAATGAGAAAAGAATATGCAAAATTTATTGAAAAAATACGAAAATGGATCATTATTCGAGCATTCTCTATTCACCTAAAATATGTCGATCAGTATAGTCAAAGGAATATCCTGTATTTCATTGCATTTTTAGATTTTGCCAGAAGAGCTGATTTCATCGATATATCACACTTGGGGTTTAGCTGGAATGATTACAGAGATATTGTTGGTTCAAGATTCAGAATTCTGATCACTCTGATTGTCAATCCTGACAGTATTGACATATTCGATCTTGACATATACAGGGTGTATCTAAATAACACCAAAAAAATTCAAGGGGTGATGCCTTGTGATATTTTAGGAAATAAAGTTCATATAAACATGTATCCTTACTTGCTTCGTTTTCGAGATACAGGGTATTAATATTTCCATGAAAAATCTTTTTTCTATTCATTTCTCAATTGTCTTTTCATCAATTTCAATAAAACGTTGTAGTTTTGTTAATACACTCAGTTCCAAAAAAAGTGACGCACTTGATATTTGACCTATCTTCTTAAAAAAAAATAGGCCGATTTTTATTTTTCTTATTTGTTGGTGGGTAATGCACTTCTCTTCAAAAAGAAATAAAGAGGTGAACATATTTTCAAAGCCTCCTCGATGGTGGTGGAATAACTCGAACCATGATTTATTCTTAATTTTTGACTCACCCTGTGTGTTAATTGAGTAATGGTATACAAAGTGCTTACACTCTATATGGAAGAGGCTTCTTTTGCGAGCATGTTGTTCTTTTATTCATTGATTTATCTCTAAAATTCTCCGAATTACAGCTTTTTTGCTGATACCTTACGCTTATCCCACAAATTGAATTTATTGAGGGATCAGAGTACTCAAAATTGATTGGGTTGTACTATGGTAGGATCACATTGTCTTTAAAAAAACAAATGCCGTTGCCATAGCAACTAATTTGTTGTATGCCTCCATATTTGACCATTTGTCGTTGTGTCATTAATTAAGTGTCTTGTTTTATTGACTAAAATTACATAAAATGCTTCAAATAAATCCTGAACTAGTAGCAAGATTAGTTACGTTAGTAAACGATGGGCGTAGTAGACGTTACGCCGCTCGTGCCCTGGGAGTTCATGAAGCAACTGCTCGTAGAGCAATCCGCAAGTACGAACAAACAGGATGCACCGCTCGGAGGGTCGGTTCTGGTCGCCCCTGAAAAACTTCTAAGAGATGATCGCATCTTGAGATTGCGGATTTTACGGAATCGATCAAAACTGCGGTGAATGTTCAGCAAGATCTTCGCCACATTCGTGATGTTACAGTAAGTAAGCAGACGGTATGTAGACGTCTAAAAGAAGTTAATTTAAAAGCTAGGAGACCTGCAAAAGGTCCCAAATTATTGCCCGAACATCGTGCTGCTAGAAGAAATTTTGTTGAAAATTATGGACAGTGGAATATTCCTGAATGTTCGAATGTCTTGTTTACGGAAATAGAGTGTGGAGAAGAACTGGTGAACGGTTTGTGGTGTCGGGAAGGATTTCAATGAATGGAAAGACACCCCTTCATGTTTTTCCGGTGAGGCAGTCGATGAATGCCTAGATTTACATTGACATTTTGGAGCAGTATGTACGTCTTACCTTATGCAGAGTTAGTGGGCAATAATTGTATATTGATGCAGGATAATGCCCGACCACACACCGCAGCAATAGTGCGAAACTTCTTAGAAGCTACTGGTATCACCACATTACAATGGCCTGCGAGAAGCCCCGATATGAATCCTATAGAACATTTGTGGAATGAATTAGGGAGAAGGGTACGTTCTCGCGAGAGGTCTCCGGAAAGTCTCGCAGAAATGGCAGATGCATTAGTGGAAGAATGGGATCGTATACCAATGGAAACGATAAGCAACTTAATTTCCAGTATGCCTCGTGGATTAGAAGTTCTTAGAGTTGCTAGAGGATGCAATACACGGTATTAAGCAGTCATCCCAATTTATAATTTTGTGTTCAACTCAAATGTTTTTTAAAATTATTGGTATCAGTTTATTTCATTAGAAAATTGTTTCTCGATAAATTCAGAAAGTTGGTAATCTGCAAAGATTCAGCAAAAAATGCTGTAATTCGGAAAATTTTAGAGATAAATCAATGAATAAAACAACAACATGCTCGCAAAAGAAGCCTCTTCCGTATAGGGTGTAAGCACTTTCTATGCCATTACTCAATCAAGACACAGGGTGAGTCAAGAATTAAGAATAAATCATGGTTCGAGTTATTCCACCACCATCAAGGAGGCTTTGAAAAAATGTCCACCTCTTTATTTTTTTCTTAAAGACAAATGCATTACCTACCAACACATTTGAAAGAATCGGCCTACTATTTTTTTTTTTTTTCAAGAAGATAGGTCAAATATCAAGTGCGTCACTTTTTTTGGAACTGAGTGTATTAATATGGAGCTTCTTCTAGGGCAATCAGATTTGAAATAATATTTCCAGTGATGATATTTGATGGATTACGTTGCGGTCCTATTTTGACAAGTATCCATAAACGTGACAGTTTTTCACATTGTGAAAGGTTCTTCAATCAATGGAGATGAAATAAACTGTTGACACCCTATAGTTCGAAAGTTAAGAGGTTTAGGGAATATGTTCATATGAACTATTCTTCTAAAAACGAGCTAAGGAACTATATCCTATATTTTCAGCCATCAATTAAATTACACCCTGTAGATTGCGTTAACTCATGAAGATATGTGTTGTATAGTGTATGTGGTGAAGGTTTTTACTCACCTGTCAGTTGTTCTAGACAATCTTCTCTGAAACACGGAGCGAGATCTTTATTCACACCAACGCAAGCATCCATCATGGATTTTTTAAAATTCAGAAATACAATCTTCTGTTCTCTCAATATGAGTTCATCTCTCAGCACATTGAAGCTCTGAAAATTAAGAAACGAACTCGATAATTTTTCATTTCAAATTCAAACAAACCGGACGTGTGATTTTGTTCAATTCGGATTATTTTTGAGGAAATAAATAAATTGTTTGATAAAATATGGAGAAAGTACTGTGATCGGAAAGATTACTTTTTTCACCAATTTGAAAGAAAACACAACTGAAGGATTAATAAACACAAAATCATCTCTACAACGTGTAATAATTGGAAGATTATTTAGGGGAACATGTTTCGGACAGTCATGTGTCCATCATCAGCCGATACTTCGAAAGAGAGGTGGAAAGTAAATAGTAGTTTGAAAAACTGAAGAAACACTCTTTTATAGGTAGCCAAACTGAAAAGAAGAAGAAAATATAATAATAATAGTGTGCTGATGATTATTCAACAAGAAAATTATTCTCTAGAAATATAGCAAAACAACGTCTGCCGGGTCAACAATTTGAATGGTCAGAATGAATTAGATTTGCCTACCTCAAATTTTTCAATATCATCTCATGTTGTAATGAAAAATGTTCAAAACGCCCTTAGCTCTTTAAATTTTGTGAACAATGAGATTCCTGAGGGGTGAATTCTTTGGACTATCCTCCTGTAGGTGATTTTTGTGCTATCAGGATGGAATATTAATTGTGTTAAGTGGAATGGGCGCCAGCTTATTTTATTTAGGAATGATAAAAAAAAACAAGCAAAAAAACTAGAAGTCAAGGAATAGGTAAATACTCAATTCATAAATTTTTGTCTCAAGAACTCTCTTCCTGTTAGTAGAAGCAATAAAAACAAAATTATCAAATAAACATCTATTAACAACAATGAAGTGTTGAAATTCACAATGCCAAAATGATTTACAATATATTTACTGTTCTCAACTTTTACGAGTTCTGATCAATATTGTTAACTCAGACCATAACACGATACTTGCGAATGTGTCCTAGATTCCCAGTTAGTACAACCAGCCTCTGTAGATAGATCTAAACGAATGCTGCTCAGCTCTAATGCAGTTCCACAATTCACGAGGTCGAAGATGGCAGGTGACAGCTCGGATGATTTCTAGAGGCGAGCTCCTCGGCTCTTTGCAGGTCTACAATCTCAGCACTGAGATATGGGAAATCTAGGTGATCTTCAACGACTCGTGTTGTACTGGTCGTATTGAGCTTCTTGATTGATCACTCGTGTGTCGACATAGAATGAAAGTTAACGAGAATCAGTAAATTTTCAAGGAGGGTGAACCGCTGATGGTTCCTAGTGAAACATGTCTTGAAGCTGAGGGCTACAAAACACAAATGTTGAAGTCTAGTATATAAAGAAACTGAAGTTTTACAATGACAAAATATTGAAAAGCAAGTTTATCAAAAAAATAATGTTAAAGTCTAGTATTTAAAAAAACTGAAGGTCAATGCTAAAGTTTTACAATGACAAAATATTGAAAATCAAGTTTATCAAAAAAATAATACAGGATTACCAGAATTATCAAAAAGATACCAGATAACCAGAAAACAATAAAATTGATTCAAAAATCTGTGTTTCTATCTTGGTAATACATATACATATACAGATAGTATGATCTTAAGATAAAATTGAAATTATCAAGGTAATATCTATGTAATATTTGACATAAGAAAATAATTGCTGAATTATCACACTTCGTGCAATTGGCCACTTGCACGAATAAGAACTTTGAATTTTATAATTGCCACAATAGATCAAGATATTTCCTGAGAAGAAGGAAAGAGGAAAGAGGAAAAAAAATGGGTTTTGAGTGAAGGTAGGCACAACCTTCAAATTCCAAATTTTTTTATATGAGATTGAGCAATATTCACTCTGTTTAAATAGCAAATGGATCAATGATATTAATTCACTCAGGTGGACAAGAATTGTGAATCTCTCATCCAAGAAAAACAAAAGATGCGCACGTGAGCAACAGTTGACACTAACAGATTTAATATCTAGATTCAAAATGCACACTGTTTACTCACCTGCGCATGTGTTTCTCCTCCTTGAGCCAAAATTCACAATCCTTCCCGTGTTTCTCCAAATTTTCACCAGGAATTGATTTATACTTATGCAGTCTTCACGACTATGATTTCCTTGGCGACAGCCAAACTGAAAGAATAAAAAAACACAGAAAGTTTTCCACTCAAAGGAATCCTGGGTGATCACGTGCTCTGACACACACTCAACTTTCGATACTAATCAAGTGAGTGAGTATTGAAGGAGAGCAATGCAACAGCTATTTTACCAAGCTGTAAAATATCTTATCAAGCGATATTTCAAATAAGCTATTCAGCCAAAGAAAAGAAAATTTGCTATCCAAACAGTCTACTGCGTGTTATTAGACACGGCCATTTTCTGATCAAAATGCTCACTACAAGAAATTCAACAAAATTAAATCTGCAATCTTCGAAACAATCAAAAATCAAAATTGTGCCTACCTCAAATCACTCTGATGTCACAAACGTTGAAAAACTCGAGCTTCCAAAATTTTTCTACGGGAGAATCGACAAAAATCGAAAAGGTCAACGTCGAGTTGTTCTTAGTTCGAAAGGTCAAAGGGAAGAGAAAGAATTTTCGTTTCACCTTCGCTTCAAGCGAATTCGTCATCACGTGACTTCTATCAATCATTCAATTGGCCAACGGACATCTCTGTAAATACACTTGTTGAATTGTATACGCGCAGGTTCCTACTCCTTAGCTAGTGATTCAGTTCTAGGACTCTAATTACCATCATCATAGTAGAACGAAGGGAACTGGAAGTGTTGTTTAATGTTCGTGATATTTCCAACAGATGCCGCTGCCAGTATCAAATTGCTGTGATCTATTAACAACTTTTATTGATATTCATTATGAATAACTTGAAAACGAGTAACGAATTATATTTCGTTACACACCCCCTCTTCTCCCATAAAAAAAATTGAAAACTCGAGGTTTTCAAGTTTTTTTTTTATAAAAATTTAGAAAATGACCGAAAGAACGTAAGTGAAAAATTATTCCTGAATTATGTAATAAATCCTATAATGAACTATCTACCTGTATATATTTACTACAAATGTTAAAAACTTTGAGATTAAACTTTATCTAGAAATATTTATCTAGTAATCTTAAACTACCAACTCTGCATCGTATGTGCAATATGAGTGGCAGGAAGTATATGACTCAAGTCCTAAAATGTAAAAAAAATTTTGATTTACTTCATGAGAAGGAACAGAGTATCCATGCCCCTAGTAAATTATAGTATTTACCAAACTGAAACTACCACTCTGCTTTCATAAGCCTCATATGAGTGGTAGGGAAATGTGTACCTCGTGAGGGTCAGCACCGTTCCCCAGACTCACAGCGCGCAGTCACCTCCATAGAAAGTTGGTCAGAACAATCTTTTCGCTTCAGATGACATGTGCAGCGCCGTCGAATAATCCTGAACCACTCGCCCCCAACTCTCTATAGAGTAAACAGCACTGCCACAACTCCAAGAAAGTGCACCGAGCCGCACAAGGCCACAGGTGGAACAAAAAAAGCAAGATGAGTAAACTACAGACAAAAAACCAAATGCCACCTTACAAATGGGGTAGAAATAGTCCTACCAGCTGAAACGACTGGAGAAGCCAGTCGGGAAAAATACTCTAAGGCGGGAGTGTTCCCGTTGGTAACACTGTGGGCCGTCCCCTCAACAAAACGGATTACGCTGAATCAAGAAGGCACAGTAGCAGCCAACCAGCACTGTGAGCAGACACCCGTAGGTCTGTCTGTCGGGCCGACCTGCTGCCCCCCAATACCTGCCCTATCAGCGGTCCTGTCATCAAAAACAGTTCGGCTGAACGCAGTCCACACCCATTACCAACGAGTCCCTATTTCAAAAAAAGGTTCACCTCATCGAGGGAATTACCATCTGGAAATGAAGATCCATGACCACCAGGAACTGAAGATACAGTATGAGGAAGAATGAAAAGAAAGAATCAGAAAAATACTTGAATAAAACATATCAAGTAAGTTCAACATCATTAGGAAACTTAGATAAGAAATATATGAGAGACAAAGAAAAAACACAAAAATAGTCAAAATCTAGGCTGTTCAGGATGAAGCTCTCAACCTAGTAAAATGCTTCTTTTTCCAAAATCTACACTTCACACTCAAAGAGAATCTTAAGAAAATGACTCAAGATTTATTTTCTCTAATTTCTGGGCAGAAGTGGAATCAAACCTATTTTTAATTCCAGAACACTAAAATTGAGAATCTAAACCAAACCTAGATTATATAGAAGGAAGATTAGAAGTGAAAGTTTCGAACCAGTCAATCCTGTCCAAGAATTGAGTTGCAAACACGTTCAATGTATCTCGACTCAATATGGTTCTGGTAGGTCACATCATTTCTGAAGAATTTGACATGTGCACTCCTGGCTTAGTACGAATCTAGAAGATACCACTAAGTCACATTTCAATTCCATCAGAACAAAGGTGCTCTCCAAAGCCTACCCTCAACATAGAATCAAGAAACTATTTGTCACCTAACAACACAACCTAGATACAGACGCAAGAAGCTAGATTTGAATCCGAAAAACTTGCACGAGATGATGAAGGTAGAAGGGACTCAGATGAGACATAGATAAGATAAAAGATAAGATAAAAAGATAAGATAAAAAGATAAGATAAAAAGTTAAGATAAAAAGATAAGAAACGAGAAAGTTGTGAGATATGAAACCAACCAAGACGTCCAGGTAGAGACTCAAGAGTTCAGAAATGTCACAAGTGAAATATCAAAGTTCAAATGGGGAATGCGGATTGATTCACAAAAAACAAGTTTTTTTAAAAAACCGTTTATAATTAATGACTTGAAAATCCATCCCAGAAATCTCAACTCTGACATGTTATAGAGAGTAATATTATGACGTAGTATCATGTACAGGATGTTCATAAATTCTATTCCAAAAGATATCGAACAACCGAAAGTTGTCACAATGACACCTAAAATTTAATAGAACATTGAAGTTATGAATTC